CACTACTCATCATTCTTCCTTGGCTTTAAGTATTTCAACATCAACCTCTTTTGATGATGCTTTTGATGTAAGTTTTAAATTCCTTGTCTTTTTAAATTCTTTTACCTTTTTCATTAATCTAGTATTTGTTTGTATTTTTTTAATCCTTTATAAATACATGATGCAGGATTATCAAGATATTTATGCAATTATGGACTATTCTTCCTTGGATAAGTCTGAACTTGAAAATTATTTGGAGGAACCAATACTGAAGCCTGATAGTTGGAAAGAATTGGATGTCTTAAACTGGTGGAAGAGTAATCAACATCGATATCCAATTCTTTCAAGGATGGCGGTTGATATTCTTAGCATTCCGATCACTATAGTTGCTAGTGAGTCAGCTTTTAGCATCAGTTCACGCGTCCTAACAAAGTATCGGAGTTCCATTCTTCCAGCTAATGTTCAGGCTATCATTTGCGTTCGTAATTGGTTACATGGTTTTGTGTACAATGGTAATTTTAATTTATATTTATTTTATTTTTTACCGTGCAAATTGCAAACAACATGAGAAATAATAACTATAATTGTGTGAGTATTTTTGTTTATTATTTGTTGCAGATAATGAAGGTGAAGAAGAAGAAGAAAGTCTTGATATTTTTGCCCCTGATGAGCCAACTATAAGTGGATCACAATCGAATTTTGTTGAGCTTGATGATAGTGAAGAAGAAGATAATGATGATGCTACCAATGTTTGAGTTATTAAGTATTTATGTGTATTTATTTAAAGATTTTCATGAGACTATGGTTTTTGGTGGTGGTGGATACTAGATTGATTCAGCTCATCTTGGCTTCATTGCATGCTATCATTTTCATTTAGATTGTGTTTCTAACATCTAGCTCATTTAGATGTTTTGTTTCTTTGGATATTGCTACTTGTTTATTGTGGTTAGTTTGATTGTTTATTACTTATTGTTGTTTAGCTTATGTCATAAAGGAATGATTGAACCAATTTCAATTTGAGAAAAAAATTTAAAAAAAAGGCAAAAGGGCTCGAAGCCCGCAGGGCCGGCCCTAAGCCCGTTATGCTTAGGGCCGAGCTTCAAGATTAAGCCCCTCAAATGAAACTTGGGCTTAAACGGGCTGGCCCTTTTAGGTTCGAGCCATTCAAGGGCCAGCCCTGTAGGGCCAGGCTAGCCCGTTTTCCCAACTCTAGTAATTGACAACTAATATTAGTAAATTAATAAATAAAGTTAGTAAAATAATAATTGATATTGCTATTTATAATTGAAAAACTGATATTCAAGGCTTGTATGATTATTGACAAGTCAAGTTATATAATTTACAACTCATATTGGTAAATTAACAAGTGAAGTAAGAAAATTATTAATTAATAATTCTGCATCTTGAATAAAATTAACACGTGAAGGGTACTTTGTTCTTTTCACTATTAAAATATTTTCACTTCAATTCTCTTGAACTAAACTGAAGTTTCAGCTTTTTTGTGACACCACTAATAAATAATAATTAAGTCACATCCTTGATTCTTAGTTAAAATTCTCCCAATAAAATAAAGGTTAAGGTTCAATTTTTTTTCTGTACTTATTTTTTAAGAGTGCTGGGCACCCTATACTCTTAAGTGGGACAATTTTATCCCTTAACTATTTTTTCGAGGAGCAAAAAATCCCTCTGCTGATGAACCGTTAACTCTATCATTATATGTTGAAGTGACATGTGCATGAGGCCCATGCACAGTAGCAAGTCAGACTTTGTCCATGTCCTTTAGTGCTAATTTGCCCTTGAATTTTTTTCAAAAGTGCTGAATACCTTAAAATATTTTTCTAAGAGCACGGGGTATGTTGAAGTCTTATTAAAATAAAATTTAATAAATATTGCCAAAATATTAAATATTTTCATATTTTATAATTTAAATATTATTATTCATAAATATTCATTCAAAATTTATAAATTACTTTTTAAATATTAACAACTCAAATTATCATTTTATAAATTTATAGATGACTTTTTATTTTTTTATATATCAATATTCGATTTTCTTTTCAAGACATTGCCCAAATCATTACACTTTTTGTGTGTGTAGGAACTTACTTATATTTTTAATATTGGTTAAGTTTCTTAATTTTTTTGGTCAACTAATGATTTTCTTTTAAAATATTATACTACCCAAATTTAATACTCTCTGTACGTTATAGTGTCAGGAGTAAAATCAGAAATATGACAATCAGGACCAACAAAATAACAACAAAAATGTTTATTTGAAAGACATCACTTGTTCTATTAATGTGCTACAAAAAAAATTACTTAACAAGAAAAAAATGAAGATATAGGAAGAAAAAATTCCTTTGTTAATTTGGAAGTTCATTTCCTTTATTTTTAATACAAAATTAAAAAATATTAAAATATCAAATTGGGTGGTGTAATGTTTTAAATAATAATATTTAAATTATTAAATATTAAAATGCCTAATATTTTAACAATATTTATTAAATTTTATTTTAACAACACTTTAGGGTGCTTAGTGTTTTTGAAAAAAGAGTTTAGAAATAAATTAGCACCAAATGATGTGATCAAAATCTTACATGTCAATATGTGTGAGCCCCGCGCACAAGCCACATAAGTATATAATGGCATAGTTAACATTTCATTAACGGATGAGTTTTTCACTTTTTTGCTCCTCAAAAAAATAACTTAGGGGTAAAATTATTTCACATAAGAGTATAGAGTGCCCAGCACTCCTAAAAATAAATATATGGGAAACATTAGACCTTAACCTATAAAATAATCACCAACTGAAAATAGAAAAATTAATTTGCAAGTACTTATAATTTTACTTTTGAATTAAGTTATTATAATTTATTTTTTAATTAATTTTATTAAATATTTTAAATGGGTTAATTATTTTCTTAAAATCCTATATTTTTTTAAAAATAAATTAAATATTTTTATATGTTTATTAAAAAATTATATAATTTTATTACTAATTACACAATTTTTATAACTCAAAAGCTATATAATTTTTTTCGCCTGAAAAATTTATATACTTAACTTATGTCTTCTAAATAAATTTTATACACATAATTTTTTATAAAAATAATAAAAATATAAATAATGTATTAAATAAATTTTTTTACTAAAAGTATTAAACCAAATTTTATAGTGTTTTTATTTAAAGTCAATCATTCGTTAATAATTTAAATTTTCAGGGATTAATATATTTGATTGATAAAATTGTAAAGGCTTGATGTGGGGATTTAATTCAAAGGTGAGAAAAATTAGAGTGACTTATTAGATTAATTTTTCTTTAAAATAAGAAAAATAAAAATTTTATTTTTACTAAAATTAACGCTAATGGTTATTTTCTCATTTCAAAATATTTCAAAATATTGGATACTTTTAGATTTATCGGAATTAAAAAAGTAATTAAATTAAAATGATAAAATATATCAATGCATTTCAAGATTAATTTTAATTAATCTATTTTAAATATTTTCAAATTTTTTATATAATCTCTATCTATATCATAACTATTGAGGTATTTGTGAGAAAGAAATATGTAAAATTGACTTTTTATTTTTTTAATAGTGTACTATAATTTGGATAAATACTACCGGTAAAAGATATTCTATACTTTAGATCCAAAAATTTTTTATGCAATATTTAATAATTAGAAATAAAAAAAAATTTATGTACTAAACACTGGCTCACTTTTTTTTGGGTTAAAACCACAAATACTATTTAATGTCAAAAATATACATTCCTAAAAAATATTTCCACAGTCTTAATATATAATATATTTTTAGACAAAATAACATATATTAATAAAATTCATTGAATATACTGTACAATTTTATTTTTTTTAAAAATAACAATATAAATTTTTAAAAATGCCTTCTATTTATAGTAATATTAAAAAATTATTGTTAATAAAATTTTATGTTATTAAAATATTTTATATTTTAAAAATATTAGAATTTTCTAAAAATATTTTTTAATTTAGGACCCTTGGAGCGTAGAAAGTTTGATAAAACAGATAAAGTGTCTATCCTGTAGCCACCTAAGACTATAATTTGTTGACCTAGATCCCAGCACGAAAGGTTCGTGAGAGGGTTTTGATAAACAGCCAAACGAAATTCAGAAATTGAAGAGGATTTGAAGTGCCCATCGATGAGTGCACCTAAGAATTTCTCTGATTTTAGACCCTTATTTACGTGTATTTGAAGCTCAGTTGGATTTGTTTTTCTTCACATGATGATAAAATAAACCAAAATTGAAGGACAGGATTTTAAACCTAAAGCGTTCAAATCTCTGTTAAAAAAGAAAATGCTCACATTTAACGATCAATTCTGTCTCGAACAGAATTACTTTTAATTAAAAAAATATGACAGTATTAAAAAAAATTAAGAGCGAAGAAAACAGTGGAGAACTACATCCTAGCTATTACATCATGCTATTCTTACTTTGAAGGATAATAGAGTAAACATTTATTGCGCTTCTTCATATATTTTGGTCTTGTAAAAGTGAGTGTTCATGATATGCAATACATTTGGGGAGATATATAGAGAAAACAAAATTGATGAGTTGTGAAAAAAAAAATTAAAAAGTACATTTCCAAAACAAATAATAAGATTATGAATTTTTTAATTTTTTTCATCACTTCTCTTACGTCTTGGGCATCTAAAAACAATTTCTAATCTCTCATGAACAATAAATCCTAACATAGAAACAAATACTAAAGGAGTTGAGAAAGTAAAAGCGAAAATAATAAGTGAGTGGAGAGGCACTAAAAACAAACATGATTCATTGCTAATACAACATTTCTAAATATCATGATTTGTTTCTACATAGTTTTTGTCTTCTTTGAGTACATGATTGCTGAATATTTTCTCCTTTACCGATCTCATCAAAAAAGGGTAATTGGCAAATTGGCAAACTTAGAGCAGCCAGCCAAATTTAGAATTTCTAAAGAGGGTAGAGAAAATAACTTGTTGGGAATACTAACAAGATTAATGCAATTTCTCAAATTTAAGAACTTGAGCTCTAAACAATCAGCAATGGATGCATCAAGCCATGATAATTTAATGCATCCTTTAAAGTCTAGCCTCTCAAGAAATGGAAATTCATAGAAATTTGGCATCTTGGTTAGATCTTTGGAGCCACTAAGATTCATGTTTCTCAAATTCCGGAAAGCCTGTGAATGAAAAGTGTATGAGGTAATTAGCCATACAATATTTGTAAGTTAGAAGGGTACGCACGCACAATTGCATTAGAAACTTCACATAAAAACACTTAGCACATATCTGATATAGATGCATGGCATAAATATAAATATAAAATATAAAATATCAAATATCTTAATACATTTTTATTAAATAGAAATCATATATATATATATATATATATTGATTATTTCTCAAAAACAAGTCGTTTGCATTAACTTGTGCGAATGAATAAAGTCCTTAATTATAGCCAAAAATATCAAAAAGTTAGAAGGGCGAACGTGCACACTAACATTATATTACCTTTCCTTGTCCGCATTGATACCATATACTTGTGATGCAGGTATCAGTCAAATTCAATTCCCTAAGATTACATGGACAATACCTTGACGGTAAAGAAGTGAAAGGATATTGGTGCCATGAAAGATAACGGAGCCGATATGAAAGATTTGTTAGGACTCCAGTAAATTTCATATTACGAAATATGAGCAGTTCAAGATTGCTCATGCGTGATAAAGCTTCAGTATTTAATGTCCTTCCTTGTGAATCTTCCAGATCCAAGACTATAGCTTCAACTTTGGGAACAACCTGAGAATAAATACATTTATATAACACCAATGCAAAGTGAGATTGCATCAATTTTAACACATTGTAATGTTAATGTCTCGAGAGGTGGAAAAAACAATATTAGCAAGACCTACCTTGTAATTTTGCATAACACGATCAATATCATCAAAATTCCACAATCTATTCCACATTTCAGGCCTAGAAGGGGATTGTTGCTGCACAATTTCTCTTCCCATTTTTTGCCATAGACCATGCATTTGTATTTTTTGATCTATAACAGTCATCAGTGATTTGTCAATCAAAATTTGTATATCCACCTTCTTAGATCTAAAACACCATAAAATTCTTTCTACATATTCAATTTCCTTCCCTATGAAAAAACATGAAATGTCTAAAAAAATTTCTTGAGAATTAGATCTCAGTTCGAAGAAACTTTTTCGGAGGGCATTCATCATCACAGAGTTAACAACCTTTTTGAATTCAACAAAGGTACTTATAGTAAGAAGCAGGCAAATTCTACAACTGCTAATGGAAGGCCATTAGCATATTCAAGTATGCCATTTATTTGCTCTTCATAAGCCCTTACAGGAAAATCACTTCTGAAAGCTTTTCTACAGAGTAATTGACGAGCTTCATCCTTAGTCAATGGTTTAACCCTATAAATATGATGCATCTTAAAACTATTCAAGACTCCTTCATCTCTGGTTGTTATGATGATTCTACTCCCTTTGCCTAACCAGTGATCATCTATAGTCTGAATTAGTGGTTCAAGATCGAAAATATCAATATCATCAAGAACTAGGAGAATATTCTTGCCCTGTAGTTGCCTACTGCCCATACAAAATTCAGTTCCCTTGTTTATGAAATGAGAAGCATAAAACATGGGAGAGATCCTATCATACACAACTTTGGCAAGAGTTGTCTTCCCAATCCCAACCATACCACAAATGCCCACAACTTGAACCCCATTATTCACACCCAATTCTAAAAGCTTTATTACTTCTTTGGCTCGAGATTGCATCCCCACCATGTCAACAACATCATGAACTAATTCTCGCATTTTTTTGTTCACTTCTATAACAATGTCATCAATAGTTTGTTGCCAGGGGCTGAAGAAAAAACAAAAAACAAAATTAATTGTTTATTTTCAACACCCTGTTTTACTGATTGATGGGGGAAAAAATTCATGACTAAATAAATTACTCACTTGTGTGGTGTGTACCAACCAGGCCGATGGGCAACTCCTTTCATTGCTAACCTCCAATTGTGGACTGTGCTTAAATCTGTTGTGAATATTTGTTCATGTTTAGCGAAAGCTTTTTCAAAAGAATTAATCTGATTCTGTACATCAGATGGATCTACATCATAAAAAATTGGAAAAACTGTATGTCGCGGTTCATGGATACGTGCAGCAATCTCAGAGAGTTCCTGAAGGAACCATATAGAAGAAGCATAGTTTTTGGAGAAGACAACAATGGAAATGTTGGATTGCTGAATAGCTTTGAGAAAGTGAGGTGGAAGAAAGATGGAATGAATTGGTTCAAGCTTCTTGTCATCCCAAAAGGTATTGAAATCATCGCTTTCAAGAGCAGCCCAAAGCCTATCTGTGAATTCGCAAGTTCTGTCATCTCCTTTGAAACTTTAGATAAACATGGTTTGGCTTCGATGATGATGATCCACTATTGAAACCCTCCATGAGTCAATAGCCTTTCAATAGATATAGAATGGAGCTGTAGCTTTTCACTGAGCTTTCAAAAATCTTTCAATGGCTCGGGGAATGAAGGAGACTGATCAAAAATAGAAACTGGAAAAGAAAAGGAGAGAGAATTGTTGAGGGGGAAATTTCCGGGAGCTTGCCCGGAAAGAGATATGGAGGTGTGGGTGCCTTTGATAAGAATTAAATTAAATTTAGTTTTTTCATTTATCATCTTTTGACTGTTGAAGAATGTTAGGTTACTTTTAATAATCAATGATTGTGAAGCTAGTAAAAGTTGGTATAGAAAAAAGACACAGCAAGCAGCAACATGTTTGGTAATAATTATTGACGATTTTATTTTATTTTATTTTTTTGAAAATTCTTTGTAATAATTCGGACAAGCATTAGTGCTGGAGATATCTTGATTTAGCGTATTTCATCAGAGATTTAGATGGTTTAAATTTTTCTGTTTTATATTTTTAATTCATTATTTTATAATTGATACTCTTTTATTTGAATAAAAAACCACTAATAAAAAAAAGCCTATATATAATGATCATTTTTTAGACTATAAAATGGTTTTAAACCACTATATATCATGATGCTATATATAGTCCACAAGAAATCATATAGCAGTTTTTTTTTTAATAAAAGCTGAAACTACCAATACAAAACCAAAACGAACAACAAAGACTTTAAACTACATTACACAACATATTCTCATAATCCACTAACTCCCTACATAAAGTTGGGGGTATATAGCAGTTTTTAACAGTTATATAATTGTCATCTATACAACAGTTATTTATAAAAAAAAACTGTTATATAGATGTTTCCAGTTTTATTTTCAATGAATCTTTTAGTCAATTATATAACAATTTTTTTTTGAAAATAACTATTACATAGTTTCTAAATATATAACAATAAGTATGCTCAATCTTGATCAATTTTCAAATTTTCCAGGCAAATTATCTAAATAATTCTTAAATTTAAAAGTTATAAAATACTTAGTCTATATAACGGATGTTAGAAGAAAACAACCGCTAGATAGTGGTTGAGACGCTTTATCTATGCTATCAAATTTGCCTCCAATTTTATTTTATTTTATTGATCACAACTATTCTTTTATCGAAGGCAATCACTGTTTGAGATATAGTTAGGTACTATTAATTACATTGAAATAGGTATAAATATTTAAAAGGCATGTGACTTTTTAATATATAAAAAGACTTTCAAAGAATTCTTCCTAAAATTTATTTTTTGCGCATAATAATAAAATAATTTAGAAATTTGAATAAAAATTTTGAAGTATATATTGATCATTTCTATTCACATTCTGAAATTGTAATTTGAAATACATTTTTTTTGGGAGGGGTGGAGGGAGAAAAGATTTGACGGGTCATGAATAATTAAAAAAACTATTTTTCCTTCATTACACCAAACCCCACGTTTTTTAAAATAAATTATTATTATTATTTTTACCAAGATTCATTTTGGAAAATACTCTTATTTTTATATGTGTAATTTAGTAAAATTAAAATATCCAGAACAAAAATATTCTGAATCAAATTAAAATGGACTGAGCTAAATCACATCTATCCTGAATAGATTGAGAAATTATTAGTGTAGGTTCTTTTAAAGGCATTTTTGAATCAATTAGAAATTCTCAGTTATGTAGGTTCTTTTCTTACATGGGTTAAGTAGGGCAACCTAAATAGTTTACAAATATGAAATTCTCAGTTATGAATAATTAGAAAAATCTATGAATCAATTTACAATGAAAATTTTATATTTATAATTATTTGAATGGATATTTGTGACTTATGTTCTTTTTTTTTCAAAAAAAAAATTAGAAATGTAACTATTAAGTTCTAACCCCCCTTTCCTGCCATAAGTCATAACTTATTCAAATCAGCCTCACGTAATGTAAAAAGTAAAATAATAATATAACAAAACATTTTTGTTCTTGTTATGTAAAAGAGTGATGGACTTGGAAATCTTTTAAATGACACTCAGATTTCTCAAGAAATTAATCTCAAAGTTGTTAATTATGGGGACACCTTGAAAAAAAAAAAGTAAAAAAGAAAGAGCAACAGATCAACTTGCATAGAAAGTTAGACTTAGAAACCCTTCTTCGTACTTCTTTCGAGCTTGGAAAGCTCCCAGAAATTTCAACCTTAACAATTAAACACCTCTTCTGTCCAAGAAAATATAAAATTAAACACCTCTTTTCTTGTAGTGGACAAGACCTCAGAAAATAAAAGCTTTCCACACGTTAATTAAGACAGAAGACCGCAGCTTTACATTCTGTTTTGTCACATTTTATAAATTATAAAGTGAAGAGCAAGAGACTTGCATAGAAAGTTAGAAGCCATTCTTCGTGTCTCTTTCAAGGAAAGCTTCCAGAAATTTCAACCTTAACAATTAAGCATCTTTTTTTCCTATAGTGGCACGCCCATATACATAAATCTATAGTTACGACCACAAGACCTCAGACAAGAAAAGCTTTCCACACGTTAATTGTGACAAAATTCAAAAGACCAATAAGCAGCTTCATACTTTGTTTGGTCCTATCTATAAAGTAAAGAAGGATATATATTTTTCTAATGTGTTAAATGATATTTTTATCTTTCAACTACTCGCTCAAAAACATTAGTTGAGAGACAAACACTTAGCACACATATGATATACATGCATAGATGTAAATATAAATATATGATGTCTTAGTGTGTGTATATATATATATCATTGGATGATAAAAATATTTTGATTTTTGCTTACAAATGAGTCATTAGCATATACTGGTGTGAGTGAAGATAGTCATGCATTTGCCAAAAACATCAATAGTAGGTAAGAAGGGCCTGCATCCAATTAACATTACCTTTCTTCCATCACGCTCATCCCATATACTTGTGATGCTGCTATCAGTCAAATTCAATTCCATAAGACAATATGGTGAGAGAAGAAGAAAGAGAGTTTGGCGTAAATTGTAGTAAATTCCAACATAAATTATGCCCATGCTTTTTATCTGAAAAATTAAACGATCTTGAATTTTAAAGATAATAAGGTCATTTCATTTCATTCATTTTAGTCCCTCAAAATTTCAGAATTTTAGGGACTTTGACTGAAATTAAGTTTAGTCAAGTGGTCCTCACTAAATTTTTTTCTATTTTTAAATGTGTAATTTAGCAAAATTAAAAGATCTTGAAGAAAAATATTGAGAACCAAGTTAAAATGGACAGGGAGCTAAACTCTAAGGTATACTAAATTAATGAGCTAAACTCATTAAAAAAAATATTGAGAACCGAGTTAAAGTGGCTTAAAGTGGCTGTTTTCACGACCCCAAGACCATACACTTTTGTCAGTCCGCCTGACATTCCACGCTTCTCCTTGACCCTCTCCTTACATTGGTTATTGCTGGTTTCTGCTTTCTTTCTTTCTTGTGAGAGTGAAGTTAAAGGACCAAATCAATTAGATTAAATTTAAAATAAAGATTAAAAATTTAGAAATTCGAAATAAGTAGAGGTAAGAGAGAGGAGAGGGAGAAAAAACAAACATGATTAATTACAGATACAACATTCTAAGGGTCATTACATTTAAACAGAATCATTTCTACATACTCCCTCCATTTCTATATATAAAGGGAAAAAACTGTATCATACAATTTAAAAAAGTTAGTTAATCATAATAATTATATTTAAAAATAAAAAAATTGGACTAAAATACCCTATATTAATCAATATAAGTATGCATTAATTATTTTTTGCTAATGTAAATTATGATGGGTGATTTAGAAAATGTGTAATAAATGCTTATTAAAATATGTGATTTTGCTTATATAAAAAATTAAGTTAAAAGTAATGGTTTCTCCTATAAATAAAATAGTGTCTATCTTTTTGAGAAAATGATTGCTTAATATTTTCTTCTTCACCAATCTCTTCAAAGGATAAAAGTTAAGGCAATTTAAAAATTTAGAGCAACCAGCCAAATTTAGAATTTCTAAAGTGGGTAGAGAGAAAATAACTCGTGGCGAATACTAACAAAAGATTAATACAATTTCTCAAATTCAAGAACTTGAACTTTGAACGATCAGCAATGAATGCATCAAGCTGTGACAATTAATGCATCCTTCAAAGTCTAGCCTTTCAAGTATTCGAAATCCATTGAAATTGGCATCGTGCATTGGTTAAATCTTTAGAGCCACTAATTTCATGTTTCAAGTGCCAGAAATTTGTGAGGCCCCGTTTGGTATAATTGAATAGTTTTGATGGAATTGGAATTGAAATTGAAATCAGAATTGGAAGAGAATTGAATTATAAAAGTATGTTTGGTATGTCAAAAAAATTAGATGGAATCCTTACATTACTTTTGTTTGGTATGCAAGACATGGAAATGGAATCTACTTATTAAAAAAGACAAAATACCTCTATATAAAAATTAAAATAAAACATAATAAAAACTTAATTGTGTACCAATTTTCTATATTATAACATTTTATATATATATATATATAATACTGTACAAATAAAACATAATATATATATATATATATATAATATCTCAAAATAAAACATAATAAAAACTTAATTGTGTACAAATATTCTATATATAACTATCTTATATATATATATATCTATTATAAATTTTATATATAATGGCAAAAATATCATTCACTCTTTTATACTCCCTTTTTCTTTTTTTTTGCTAGCATATGATAGCATTTTTTGAGGGCAAATTTGTCTTTCTAAAATTTGTATGAGGGTAAAAGTGTCTTAATATTACAATTCTATAGAATTGCTCATGATTCCATAGCTTTAAAGAAGGAATTCAATTCTGCTATTTTCATGGAATCAGGATTCTTAAGAATTGTAATTCATATCTACCAAATATCACTTTATTCAGATTCTTATCTCAATTCCATTTCCATCTTCACTATTTCAACCTACCAAACATGGCCTGAATGAAAACAGTGCGCCACATAATTAGCCACACAATATCTGAGTTAGAAGGGTGCGCACTCATAATTACATTACATTTTCTCATCTCCTAACCAAACACGGTTTTCATAAAAAAACTTCACACCAAACACTTAGCAATATATATGATGTACACATGATTAAATGTAAATATAAATATATGATGTCTTAATGTGTGTATGTGTATCTATTAAATAAGATCATACATATATATCATTCGCTGATAAAAATATTTTGATATTTTCTTACAAATGAGTCATCAGCATTTTGTGTACATAATCTCCTTTAAACTTAGATAGACATTTTTTGGCCTTGATGATGATGATGATCCGCCAATGGAACTCTCCATGTCAATAGCCTTTCAATGGATAGAATGGAGGCGCAATTACTCACTGAGCTTTTAATGATCTTTTAATGGCTCTGCGGATGAAGGAGACCGATAAAACTAGAACCTTGAAATGAAAAGAAGAGAGGCTTGTTGAGGTGGAAATTTCTGAAAGCTTGCCCTGAAAGAGATATGAAGGGATTCTAATTTCTACGCAAGACTGTGTGGGGCTTTGATAAGAATTAAAAATTTTGTTCGTTTCTCAAACTTTTTCTTCTTCTGATGACTGTTAAGTTACATTTTTTTTTAATGTCCTTGATTTGAATTGTTACGTTACTCTATAATAATTAAGTGGCGATTGTGAAGCAGGTAAAAAGTTGATTGTGAAGCAGGTAAAAAGTTGACCAAAAAAAAAAAAAAAGACCCAGCAACCATGCTCCTTTGATAATAATTCTTGACAATTTTTTTTAAGAAATTATTAACGTCTCCAATGGTGAATGTTGCCTTTTCCTCTTCAATGGTGGAAGCTTGCAGTGAGAAATGAAGAAAATCCATAACTTTTGTTTATTACTTTTCCTTCATAAAGTACAAAATTTTTCCACATCAAATCAAGTTGTGGAAAAGTTGCCAAGACAAGATTTAAATTTCCACACGTTATTAATTATGACAGAAGAGACCACTTTTATAAATGAGTCAAAATTACTTCCCTACGTTTTCTCATCAAGAATTTACTTAGGAATTGAGAAATTCTTGCATGGTGTCGCGTATCACGTTTGACTTCCAGGTATTTCACAAGCTGAAGCCAGCAGCATGAAGCATCTCCAAATGGAAAGAGGGACGTAATTGCACAAAATCAATTGACCTTTGATTTAAATGTATGAGATGGGTAATGTGAGCTTGAGAAATTCTTAGGTAGACTAACTACATACGTTACATCATTGTGTTCTTTCCAATAAAAATATGACATTCATGATAATATTAAATATAAATTGATTATTACATTAATAATAGTAGAGATAGAAAAAGTAAGAAATTAAATATACATTCTATTATAATAATAAAATCAATTAAAACAATGTTAGTTAAGATTTTATTTAGATGACTTAAGGTATTTTAATTATGGACAGATTATAAATAATGCACCCAATTTATATAAAAATTTCCCTATCAACTCTTTGTCTTCATCGGCTGAAATTAAAGAATTGCATTATTGCAATGACAATGATGAAGGAACTCCATAAGACCATGACTTTTGTTTACATTTCCTTTGATTAAGGCAAAAGTTGGCGAAGACGTTAAACCCTTTCCACAAGTTAAAGAACATTCTATCAATTTGCTAGCTAGTACTTTTTCGTTGCAAGATGCCTCCTAGAATATACTCCCTTTTTCTCTAATATAAGATATTTTTAATTGAATTATGGAAATTGATAAAAGTTGGTTATCTAATTAAAAATACAGCAACATTTCAATTTTGCCTCTAATTATTGTAAGTAAAAAATGAATCTCTTTTTTCAAAGTAAATTAATGAGAGTACTTATCCTTTTCTTTTTCTAATTTAATAAAAGTATAATAGTCCATTAATTAAAAAATATACTAACAATATCTTATATTTAGAGATAAAAAAATGTTATAAAAAACCTCTTATATATAGGAATGGAGAGAGTAATGCACTAGCTAACTAGGCCAATCAATGCAACATTTACTCGAAAACTGCATGTATTATATCAATTTATAATATAATGTTGCGTTATGAAATTCAAGTATGAGTAAACTTAAGTTGATATGTCAATTTTCATATCAAATATAATTGAGCTTGATAAGCAATATATAAGTTTAAGATACAAGTCTATCTATAAAGAATGTTGCGAGGAGTTACTAGTTTCCTTGACTCAAGATTATATAGTACAATTTTATTCCTAAACTCTAAAAGTGGTACAAAAATTCTACTTTGTAAGGGAGGCTAAATGTTTCTCAACTAAAGGTTGTGGATTCTATATATCTACTATGTAACATGTAAATGGCTCAGGGCAAAAAGATGCTTTCATGTATAAGTGGATTTGAGATAATGTAAAAAACTCCATGCTGAAAGTAAAAATAATGTCATAATTATCACTCAATCAAAAATAATTTTATATAAAAACTATGGATTAAAAATTTTAATCATAATTTATTAAAATTAGTTTCGGCAAAGAAACTCATCCTTTTTCAACGCTTCATGATTAAAAAAAAGTTAAATAACAGATTTATCTCTAAATTATAGGTTAAAAAGTATTTAGGATTCTAAACTTATTTATTATGTAATGTTTTATTTCAACTTTTGAAAATGACGCAATATTGCCCGTATCATTAATAAATAATTTTGACAGTTAGTTAACAAAAAAATACAGAAAATGACTTCAAAACTACATCTACAAAAATGACCCATTTTAAGTCATTTTCTTTAGTTCTGTGTAGGGGAGGAAGATATCATTGAAAATTGGAAAAACTATATGTCGTGGTTCATGGATACGTGCAACAATCTGTGAGAGTTCCTGAAGGCACCATAGAGAAGAAGCATAGTTTTTGGAGAAGACAACAATGCAAATATTTGATTGCTGAATAGCTTTGAGAAAGTGAGGTGGAAGAAAGATGGAATCACATCCCCTTCTAGATTTTTTTTTTCCTCACATGGTTTAAGTAGGCCAACCTAAACAGTTTACAAATATGAAATTCTCAGTTATGAATAACGAGAAAAATCTATGAATCAATTCACAATGAAAATTTTATATTTATAATTATTTGAATGGATATTTGTGACTTATGTTCTTTTTTTTTAAAAAATTCGAAATGTAACTATGAAGTTCTAACCCCCCCTTTTCCCGTCATAAGTCATAACTTATTCAAATTAACATCTTTTTTTTTTTTGGCCAACTATTCCAATCAACAGCACGTAATGTAAAAAGCAAGATAATAATGTAACAAAACATTTTTGTTCTTGTTATGTAAAAGAGAGACAAACTTGCATAGGAAGTTAGACTCAGAAACCCTTCGTACCTCTTTCGCCTGAAATTTCAACCTTAACAATTAAACACCTCTTCTGTCCCAAAAAATAAAAAATAAAATCCAACACCTCTTTCCTTGTGGTGGACAAGACCTCAGACAATAAAAGCTTTACACGCGTTAATCAAGACAGAAGACCGCAGCTTTATATTCTGTTTGGTCATATTTATAAATTATAAAGTAAAGAAGGATAAACTCACCTTAAACTTTTGTTTATTTTTCTGTTGACTAAGGAAAAAGTTGGCGGAGACGGTAATGGCTTTCCACATGTTAATGAGCTTTATATCAATTTGCGAGAGCTAGCACTTCTTGTTGGCTGCAAGATGCCTCTCGTAGAATGCGCAAGCTAGCCAGGCCAATGCAACATTTACTCCAAAAATGTATTATATCAATTTATAATATAATTGTGTTTGAAGTAGAGTAGGTAAGCTCACTTGACTTGGGATCAATTGGAATCTGCTTATTCAAGCTAGTCTAAACATATAGGGGGAAAAAAAGAAGAAGAAGCATGTATCGCCAAGTTTGTATCTAATACCCTTAGGATTGGAGCTTATTGAGCTAGTCTAAATATCCAAATTATTGAATTTTTTATTTAAAAACAAATTTTAATTTAAAATTAATTCCTTTTTATTTTTATAAAAATATAAAATATACTTTTTACATATTTTTTTAAAAAAATTAAAGTTTTATTCAAGTAACCGTGGTTTTTGTGCATATTTTTGTGATTTAGTGTATTTCATAATCAAAGATTTAGATGGTTTAAATTTTATTTTATATTTTCATTAATTCTTTTATAATTGATGCTTTTTTACTTGAATAAATATTAAAACACTCCCTTCATTTCATTATATTAGCCTTTTTAATGTTCTTGCATATAGATAAAGAAATAAAATAAATATGTAAAAATATAACATATTTACCAATTTTGCAGCTAATTTAATTGCATTTGAATAGTTGTAAATATTTAAAAGACATGGGATTTTTTAAGAGTTAAAGGGTAATTTAGTCTTTAAATTATAGATCAAAGAGCGTTTTAAATCCTAAACTTATTTTTGATACAATGTTCATTTTTAATATTTGAAAATAGTGCAAAACTATGACCATTAGTTGATGTTAAAAAATTTTAGAAGTTACAGATAGGGTCTAAGATTAAAATCACTTGCACAGTTAAATATTTTATATATTTTATAAATAAATTGAGAGTACGGTCAGATAATTTTTTTAAAAAATATTAATATTAAATTGCAAAATATTGAAGCTAAAAATAAATATTTTTAATTAGTATATATCAATTAAAAAATAAAGATTAAAATATTGTATAAAATATTAATATATTTTACCTTTTGTAATCATTTTATAAAATTAAGTCTTGCTCAGTGTAAAAAATTATTTTTAAAAATAAATAATTATTCTTCTTTATTGGAATACATAATTATTTTTTATACAGCAATAAAGAAGAAAATATCATATGGAAACCTATACATACCTTTTAGATTCATAGAATGATGCACCCTATATATAAAGTTAAGATTTGGATTCCTTTATAGGAAGTTATCATATCAAGGGAATTAAATCTTATTTTTTAATATATATATTTAGTACTTTCTTATCTAGGGAAAATACTTTCTTTTTTTAAGTTCATAATTTAGATAAATTAAAACATTCTCAAAAAAAATATTCAAAACCAATTAAAGAGTGATTGGTCGTTTGGTCTTCAGTCACCACTCCAAGACAAAATATCAAACATGCCACACCCCTTCCTTTGCTTGGCACTAAAGTTGAATGATATATTTTTCCCCCTATTTTATTTCTTTCCATCCTTCCGTTTTTTTAATATTACTCAACACACACTTTTTTGGTTTTGATGTCTGTATGGTAGGAAAAAATTATTTTTTTTACTCGCTCATTTTTTAAATTAATATTTAAGAATATATGAAAAAATTATCCTAATTTTTTTTCTGTGCATGATAGTTAAATAAAATTAAAGCAAAAGCTGAGTAAATTTTTTTGGGAAAATTATTGCTAGGGACTTGAAAAAATAATATTATTATAAAGGACCATAAAGATTTAAATTAGGCTGAAGGACCAAGATAAATGTAATTAACTATTCTAACCTTAATATAAACCTTATTAATAACACCTTAAAATTAACTATACCGTATAAGTTACAAAAATATTGAAAAATAAAGTCGTGCCGATTTCAATTCCACACAAATAAAAACAAAATACAGTTTTAAATTTTAATCAAATCAATATACCTTAAAAAATAATTCTTTTTTAAATAATTAATTGAATATAATTTTAAAATCATTATTTTTTAAAAAAATTAAATCAATATAATTTAAAAAATTTATTTTTAAAAATTATTACATTTTATTTTTTAATTGGTTCGAAAAGATTTTTTTAGTGTCAACTTATCTTTATAGGGACTTATTTGCAAATCTTTTAAGGTACAAGAAATTTTTCACTTATTATGATTTCTAGCATTATTTGCTTCTTTTACCATTGCCAGTAACGTACTTGCCAAGTTCAATTTGAGACGGGGTTAGAAAAAATATAGGAAATTTGACTAGGGATAATTTTGTATTTAAACTTTATATTTTAATATTTCGTCCTACTCAATTATTACTTTTTTTAACATACCTTATAATAGATATTATTTTTTTCAGGTTTTCCGCAATAAATTTCCCAAAATATTTATTGCGCTTCAAATGTTTTGGACTTGCAGAAGTGAATGTACAAAATAATTCATTACGGGAGGTGTAGAGAATGTAAAAGTACATTTCCTTCAATATAACAAACCCTGCATTTTTTTAATAAGTTGTTATTATTATTTTTACCAAGATTCATCATAACTTTTTACTATTTTGCAAAGAGCAAGAGTTATCTTAGCTTTACAATACACTTTTATTCAATCAAATCAAAACATGCGAATTTTAATATGTTAATAATATTAATAACAAGAATTTATTAGACATTAAAAAGTTTATAAAAAATACATATGTCTTGATTTAATTGAAATCTATGCCTTAAATGTATAAGGCTAAATATATAAGTTTAAACAAAAAACTGGGATGGTGCCTTTCTAATAACTCGTCTCACGTCTTGTCAATCTAAAAACGATTTATAGTTTCTCCTTAACGATAAATCATAAATTTAATCATTTTTAAATGTATAACTTCGCAAAATTATATAAACACTTGAATGTAATTTCAATATAAGTATCAAAATCAAGACAAAATGGAAAATGCAAAGAAAAAGTAAAGTGGACCGAGCTTGGTTCATTGTGCGGTGGAATATAATCAATAAGGGCACTATAAGATATCAAATTTTGAATTATTTGTTGTTAATGTTAATCAACTTTAATCTCTACATTTTTTTACTAGCAACACTCTATGATTAGCTTTGTGCATTGGCATCACAGAGAATGTTCTCGTTGTAACACTCAACGGTAAGAAAGTTAATTATATATGGCATTAATAATAAGCTAAATTATACTTTTAATCTTTTGATTTTATACAAGATTTCAATTTTATCCCTTAATTTTATAAAGTGTATTTTCACTCATTTAATTATAACACCATGAATTTCAAATAATTATTTTTTGTACTAATTATGTTATTTTAAAAGATTTAAACTTAGACAGTGTTAAGGTTAAATGAATGAAAAGATACTTTATAAAAATTAAAAAAAATTGAAACCTTACTTAAAGTTAGAGGACAAAAAATATAATTTAGTCTTAATTATATAGACAAAAATATGGAAGGAGTTGAGAAAGTAAGAGAGAGGATATACATAGGAAAAATAAATATGATTAATTAATGATACAGAATTATATTTCTAATTAACAAATAGTGCACTTAAATAGATTTGTTTTTACATTGCTTCCATCTCTGTTTCGAGAAAATAATTCACGAGTAGTTTTTCTCTCACCATCCTCCTCTTCAAAAGGAGAAAAGTTAAGACAACTAGCAAAGTTGGAACAACCAGCTAAATTTAGCATTTCTAAAGAGGATAGAGAAAATAACTTATTGGGAATACTAACAAGATTAATGCAATTTCTCAAATTTAAGAACTTGAGCTCTGAACGATCAGTAGCAATGGATGCATCAAGTTGTGATAATTTAATGCATCCTTCAAGGTCTAGCCTCTCAAGACTTGGAAATTTAAAGAAACTTGGCATCTCGGTTAGATCTTTGGAGCCATTAAGATTCATGTTTCTCAAACATCGGAAAACCTGTGAATGAAAAATAGTGTATGAGGTAATTAGGCATACAATATCTGCAAGTCAGGAGGGTATGCACGCACAATTGCATTACCTTTTCTATTCTTCGCCGGTGGCGGACAAATTTTTTCATTAGAAACTTCACACAAAAACACATGGCACATATCTAATCTAGATGCATAGCATAAATATAAATATAAAATATAAATATCTTAATACATTTTTAATAAATAGAAATCATATATATATAAAAGTATTTTGATTATTTCTCATAAACAAGTCGTTTGCATTAACTCGTGCAAATGAATAAAGTCCTGAATTATAGCCAAAAATATCAAAAAGTTAGAAGAGCGTACGTGCACACAATTAACATTTTATTACCTTTCTTTCTCGGTATGGATCCAAGTCCCAGCTATCCCATTCATCCCATTCACTCGGGATGCAGCTATCCCCTTCACTCGTGATGCAACTATCCCATATACTTGTGATGCAGCTATCAGTCAAATTCAATTCCCAAAGCTGATATGGGCGATAATTTGACGGCAAACAAGTAAAAGGATATTGGTGCCATGAAAGATAGCAGAGCCGATATGAAAGATCTGTTAGGACTCCAGTAAATTTCACATTATGAAATATGAGCAGTTTAAGGTTGCTCATGAGTGATAAAGCTTCAGCATTTAATGTCCTCCCTTGTGAATCTTCTAGATCCAAGACTATAGCTTTAACTTTGGGAGTAACCTGATAATAAATACATTTATATAACAACAATGCAAAGTGAGATTACATCAATTTTAACACATTATAATATTAATGTTTTGAGGAAAAAAACAAAAAAAAATATTACTAAGACCTACCTTGTCATTTTGTATAACACGATGAACATCATCAAAATCCCACAATCTATCCCACTCTTCTGGCCTAGAAGGGGATTGTTGCCGCACAATTTCTCTTCCCATTTCTTGCATTAGACCATGCATTTGTATTTTTTGATCTATAATAGTCATAAGTGATTTCTCAATCAATAGCTGTATATCCACTCCCCAATATCCACAACACCTTAAAATTCCTTCTACATATTTAATCTCCTTCCCTATGAAAAAACATGAAATGTCTAAAAAAATTTCTTGAGAATCAGAACCCCGTTCGAGAAAACTTGTTTTGAGGGCCTTCATTATCACAGAGTTAACAACCTCTTTGTATTCAACGAAGGCACTAGTGCTCCATTCTGAAGTTCTTCTACTGTGTAAGAAGCAGGCAAATTCTACGATTGCTAAGGGAAGGCCATTAGCATATTCAAGTATGCCATTTATTTGCTCTTCATAAGCCCTTACATGATAATCACTTCTAAAAGCTTTTCTACAGAGTAATTGACGAGCTTCCTCCTTAGTCAATGGTTTAACCCTATAAATATGATGCATCTTAAAACCCTTTAGGATTCCTTCATCTCTGGTTGTTATGATGATTCTACTCCCTTTGCCTAACCTGTTGTCATCTATAGTCTGAATTACTGGTTCAAGATCGTAAATATTAATATCATCAAGAACTAGGAGAATCTTCTCGCCCTGTAGTTGCCGACTGCTCATACAAAATTCATTCCCTTTGTATATGAAATGAGAAGCATCAAAAATGGGAGAGATCCTATCATACACAACTCTGGCGAGAGTTGTCTTCCCAATCCCAGCCATGCCGCAAATGCCCACAACTCGAACCCCATCATTCACACCCAATTCTAAAAGCTTTATTACTTCTTTGGCTCGAGATTGTATCCCCACCATGTCAACATCAACATGAACTAATTCTCGCATTTTTTTTCTTCACTTCTATAACAATGTCATCAATAGTTTGTTGCCATGGGCTGAAGAAAAAACAAAAAACAAAATTAATTGCTTATTTTCAACACCCTATTTTAGTGATTGATGGGGAAAAAATTCATGACTAAATAAATTACTCACTTGTGTGGTGTATACCAACCAGGCCGAATGGCAACTCGTTTCATTGCTAACCTCCAATTGTGGACATCGCTTAAATTTTCAGTGAATCTTTGTTCATGTTCGGCGAAAGCTTTTTCAAAAGAATTACTCTGATCCCGTACATCAGATGGATCTACATCATAAAAAATTGGAAAAACTGTATGTCACGGTTCATGGATACGTGCAGCAATCTCAGAGAGTTCCTGAAGGCACCATATAGAAGAAGCATAGTTTTTGGTGAAGACAATAATGGAAATGTTGGATTGCTGAATAGCTTTGAGAAAGTGAGGTGGAAGAAAGATGGAATCACATGGGTCAAGCTTCTTGTCATCCAAAAACGTATTCAAATCATTACTTTCAAGAGCAGCCCAAAGCCTATCTATGAACTTGTAAGTTATGTACTCTCCTCTAAAACTTAGATAAACATGGTTTGGCTTCGATGATGATGATCCGCTATTGAAACCCTCCATGAGTCAATAGCCTTTCAATGGATATAGAATGAAGCTGTAGTTTTTCACGAAGCTTTCATAAATCTTTTAATGGCTCGGGGAATGAGGGAGACTGATAAACACTAGAACCTTGAAATGAAAAGAAGAGAGGGTTGTTGAGGTTGAAATTTCTGGGAGCTTGCCAGGAAAGAGATATGGAGGTGTGGGTGCCTTTGATAAGAATTAAATTTTAAATTTTGTTTTGTTTCATTTATCATCTTTTGACTGTTGAAGACTGTTAGGTTACTTTTAACAATTAGTGATTGTGAAGCTAGTAAAAAGTTGTTGCAGAAAAAAGACACAGCAAGAAGCAACCATGAACATGATAATCATTCTTGATGATTTTATTTTTTTGCTAATTCTTTGTAATAATTCGGACAAGTAATAGTGCTGGAGATATCTTGATACAGAAGCAGTAACCGGTGGTTTTGGTGCATATTTTTATGATTTAGTGTATTTCATTAGAGATTTCGATGGTTTAAATTTTACTATTTTTGTATTTTTTATTGATTATTTTATAATTGAAACTCTTTTATTTGAACAAAAAAAACACTACTTAAAAAATGCTTATATATAGTGGTTATTTTTTAGACTATATAACAGTTTTTAACAACTATATACCATGACGCTATATATAGTCCAAAAAAACTATATATAACCATTATATAGATGTTTTCAGTTTTGTTTTCAATAAACCTTTTAGTCAACTATATAACAGTTTTTTTTTAAAATAACTATTATATAGTTGCTAAATATATAATGGTAAGTATGCCCAATTTTGATCAATTTTTCAAATTTTCCAAGAAAAATAAATAATTCTTAGATTTATTTCAAACAACTACTATATAGATTTTTGGAAAAAAATTACAAAAAAAATGATAATTTAATAATTTTTTTAAATAGCCGTTACATGTTCTCATGCATCCAATTCCTGCCTCCATATAACAATTTTTTTTTTATAATCATTATATAAAAGGTGTTATATATTGCCTATTTTTTAGTAGTGAAATTAAATTACCCCTCCATTTCACTATATTGGCCTTTTAATGTTCTTACATTTTCATTAAGAAGTGCAATAAATATATAAAAATACAACTTATTTTTACCAAATTTTCTTCTAATATTTTTCTTTGTTGTTTACAACTATTCTCCTGTAGAAGACAATCATTGTTAATTGCATTGGAATAAGTATAAATATTTAAAAGGCATAGGACTTTTTGATATATAAAAATATATAAAAAGACTTTTAAAGAATTCTTCCTAAAATTTCTTTGTTACACATAATAATAAAATAAATTAAATTTGAATAAATATTCACACCCTAAAATTGCAACTTGAGATACATTTTGGGAGGGGGGGGGAGATTCCATGGGTCATGAAAATTTAAAAAAAATATATTTCCTTCATTACACCAAACCCCACGTTTTTTAAAATAAATTTTTAGTATTATTTTTACCAAGATTCATTATGGAAAATACTCTTATTTTTAAATGTGTTATTTAGTAAAATTAAAATATCCTGAACAAAAATATTCTGAACCAAGTTAAAATGGACTGAGCTAAATCACATCTATCCTGAATAGATAGAGAAATTATTAGAGTAGGTTCTCTTAAAGGCACTTGTTTATTTCCTGTATCATTTTTTGTTAAAATTTTGTTCATTTCTTATACTTGTTCACCTTTTGACCTTTTTTGTCCCGGCTTGCCAACTTCATCTTTTGACTGTTAGTTTACTCCCCCCCCCCCCCACCAACACCCTTGAAGGCTGTTACGTTGCCATAATAAGCTGTGATTGTGAAGTAGGTAAAAAGTTGGCACAAAAAAACCTGCAACTATGCCCTTTGATAATAATATTAATTCTTGACAATGTTTTTGTTGTTGGAATAATATAGTTCTTTACAATAATCCGGACAAGCATTAGTGCAGGAGATGAAGATATCATGATACAGAAGCAGTACTTAACCGGTGGTTTTGGTGCATATTTTTATGATTTAGTGTATACCATGAATCCTCAGAGATTACGATGGTTTGAATTTTATTATTTTGTATTTTAATTAATTCTTTTATAGTTGATATACTACTTTATTTGAATAAAAAAATTAAATTATAGCTTAAAATGATAAACTTTGTTTCCAAATAAATTAAATGAAAATGACTGAAATATCCATGCCTTACAATATTAATGCTTGTACTGTAGAGCTAGGATTTGGATTCATTCAATAAACTCTTAAATTAAATATCCATGTGCCACTCATCATATCTAAATCTTTTGTGAAACGGCACATTCGATGGGGAATTTGTCCAATCAATCATCTTCAACGGTGGAAAGTTGCAATGTGAGAATGAAGAAAATCCATAGCTTTTTTGTTTACTTTTCCTTCAAAGTATAATATATGTTCACACGTTACACAAAGAATATGAATATAAAACATCAATTATGAAAAAAGTTGCCGAGACCAGATTTTCCACACGTTATTAATCATGGCAGGAGACTGGTAAGCTTTATAAATGAGTCAAAGATATCACCTCCCCTATGGATGATCTGCATGCACTTTAGAAGAATTTGGACCGCAAAATTAAGTCAACATATTTGTGCTGTTACTTCTTAAGTTGCAAGATAAAAGTTGAATTGAAACTTCTCATCATAAAAGGAGATATCTCTTGAGCTAGCTCCTAGTCACCAAGCACTTTTTTTTTAAGTAGGCTTGAAACCAGGGATTTCTAGTCCATACGAACCTAGCTAGTCTTTATGAGTTTAGATTAAAAACCCAATTGCACACAACTCCTTTCTTTCCATTTTTTTTTATTTTCTTATATTTAAAAAATACATTTTTAACTCTGACGAAAATTTATTTTTGCACTATTGATAGGAAGATATAATCACATCTGGCGTTGGAAATTATGTACTTAGAGGGGTCGTCGTGCCTCGAATCCGATGTAACACGTCCTGGTTCTTCTTCCTATCTATCTTACAGCTATTACGTCCGGTCCTAGCCTCTCATATCCGACCCTGACCTATATTTCCCCATGTTTTCGTAATCACATCGCATATTAAATTAAAAGGTTAACAATTCACGACTCAACCAATAATTAAATTAATGATGTAATAATTAAATTAAAAAATTATATATATAATAATTTAAATATAAAAAATAAATATGAAATTTCTATTTAATTTAACAATAAAATAAAATATTTTAAATTTATGATGATTTAACAAGCCACATGATACAATATAGATTAAAAAATTGATTATTTTCTAAAAAAAATTGATAAAAAAAAGAAAAGGGTATTTTCTTAACTATCTGGTTTTTAGACTATCAATCTAAAGCAGCATAATCCAGCCCAACTCCCCAAATGATTTTTTGGCTTGACTGAATTGTTAGCTTGACTAGCTGATGATTCGATTGGTCAAACCGTCCGATTCGATTCGGTTTTTCAATCATTGGTTTTTCCCTCATTTTGTCCTACTTCCTACTTATACGTTACATAATACTCTATTCTAAGTCCCTTACAAGTAGAGTCGAAAATAAGGGTAGGCCTAATGGATCTCTCATTTGAGCATGTTTTTCTCAAGGTTTGGGCTTGAAAAAATATTATTTTATTTTTTCAAAAATTGTTCATTTAATCATTGTAGTTTCGACTTAATTATAACTTAATCCTTGAACTTTAACTCGTTACAAAGCAATTTTTATAGTTTTAACTTGGTTGTAACTCAATCATTAAATTTTGACTTAGTGCTACCCAATTCCATCAGTTTTAATTATTTAACATATTGATTCTTATATTTAAAAAATAAAATTATATATATTAAAACTATTTTAAAAAATAATAAATTATTATTTTAGAACTAAGGACCTATCCATCTTGAGTACCAAACTGCAGAGATAATGAATTGATTGAATTCTATATTTGGGATGTAACATTGGAAAGGGGGGGGTGACAAGTAAGGACTCTAGAAGAAAGTTAATATTAAGTTAAAATTTTTCTCAACATTAAATTTCTCAAATTTAATACTCCTTCTCCCATATTTTAGTATTGAAATTTCTAGTTTAATATTAACTTTCTTATAACATTTTTACTTGTCATTCTCCCTTAGAAAAAATGTACTTTCAAACATTTCTAAACAAAACAATCAGAGATGTTATAATTATTAACATGTGCGATGATGAATGTCTTTTCCTCATCACTGCCGGAAACTTGCGGTGAGAAATGAAGAAAATCCATAGCTGTTGTTTACTACTTTTCCTTCATAAAGTGTAAAATTTTTCACACGTTAAGTAAGAATATTAATAAGACATCAAATCAAAATGTAGAAAAAGTTGCCAAGACAAGATTTTCCACACGTTATTAATTATTACAGATCTAGAGACCAATAAGCTTTATAAATGAGTCAAAATTTAATTAGGAATTGAGAAATTCTCGCATGGTATTGGTGTATGACGTTTGACTTTCAGGTATTTCACAAGCTTAGGAACCAGCAGGATGAAGCATCTCCAAATGGAAAGAGGGACGAAATTGCAGAAAATCAATTGATCATCGACCTAAACGTCTAAGATGGGTAAATGCCAGCTTTTAGTCTTGATGATATAATGATAGATGACGAAGCTCCATGAGACCATAACTTTCTATCAATTTTCCAGCCAGCAATTGTTGGTTGCAAGATGCCTCATAGAATATAATGCACTAGCTAGCTAGGCCAATTAACGCAACATTTACTCAAAAAATGTATCACATCAATTTATAATATAATGTTGTGTTATGAGGTTGAAGTGACAGTAAACATGGGCTGATATGTCAAGTTTCACATCAAATATAATTGAACTTGATAAGTGATGTACGGTTAAAGTGCAAATCTATCTATAAAGAATTTTGCAAAGAGTTGCTAGTTTCCTTAACTCAAGAATTTATTGGCAAACTCTAAAAACTGGTGCAAAGATTTCCCGTATGTAAGGGAGGTTAAATGTCTCTGAAGTAAGGATT